CAGCAGGAGCGTGTCACGGGTGGAGTCCTTTGAGGACCGCTCCAGGCCTCCCTTCATGCCACTCCCATTAACGAAACCTCGGTCCATTTCTTTTCCCAATGCTGACACATCTGACTATGAGAACATTCCTGCCATGAGCTCTGACTATGAAAACATACAAATTCCTCCTCGAAGATCCACAAGAGCAGGAACCTTTACTGAGTTTTTTGAAGATCCCAGCAGGGCATTATCTGCTGCGAATGAGAATGACGGGTATGTGGATATGAGCAGCTTCACTGGCTTTGAGAACAAACAGCAAACCACAGACCAGGAAACAGAAAGGTACTGTAAGAAATTATTATGTAAAACCTGCTAGCCTTGGCCAAACAGTCAAGGCCTTCTGTGCTGGGTATCATAGGCAGATCCTCCGTCTCGCTTGACTTATGCCCCTGCTCAGGAAATACTTACCAGAAAGATTGGAAGAATACAATATAAGCCTTTATTAGTGAAAAAAAAAGAAAGACAGACTCTTTACCTGATAAATCTATAGTAGCAAGTCCAGTGGATCTGGATCCTATGGTTGACAGATACAAACCGAAGAACGTTTAAGAATACTTGGTTTATCTAATGGATATAATTTTTGTGGCTTGTGGGGGTGGGGAGAGCTTGCTTTGTTCTTCAGTAAGAAAGAGGTTTCTCACTTCTTGACTGAAGGAAAAAACAGCCTATCTGCTAGGAAAGGGTCCTGATTAATTTTTTAATTCCTGTCCGTTTCTCAAAGCTACAATATATATAATGTATGTTTCAAAGTATATTAGTTAAGTATACACTTATGGATTAATAAGACTAGACAATTCATCTTAAAAGTTGCTTTAGAGCCTATTATTATGGTCCTTTGACAGAGCTGCTGATTTATAAATTAATTAAATGTCTGAAATAATATGCATTGCTAACATTAATAACAATGTTTCATCCTATTTTATTTTATTATTTGTAAATATGAAAATGTGATTTTCATAGTTGCATAGGAGCAGTGCACTCAAGACCTCTGAATTTTAATCTGTCATGAAATTATAGCATACTGTTCTGTGAGGATGTAAATAAGGAGAGTTTTCTACTAAGTTCATGTTAAACAGGTAATGAGAAAACAAGGTGCAAAGCAAATGAATGAAAAGGCATGTCTTTAATGCAGTTATATTTTGTTAGAGATGTGTGAAAAAGATATGTGTCTTAAAAACAGTATTTCATGTCCATTTTAACCCGTAATTCCCCTTCTAAAGATTTAATACCCCTGTTTCTTTGCTGCATTTATTTTGTCTGGTCCTCTCCCCCGTCTTTGAGGATGGAAGAAAGCATGGGCATATCACACATCCCTTTTTCCATATTGCAGACACAGGGAGTATAAGAACTTCCCTTTAACAACTCTGAATGAGTCTCGCAAACCATTTCTAAGACAGGCATAATAATACAGCGCTTTGTCTTTCTGAGAGAGGAAAGAATTGGCAGGGGTGGGAGAGGTGAGCCTGACATGGGGAAAAAGGTTGGATCAGTCCTTAGCTGTGGATCCACCTGTGCTGGAAGCTGAGGGGTGTGGGACACAGGCCTGTGGCTTAGCTCTGGGAAGGTGCTGGCTGCCTGCAGCCTCGGTGGTCCTGGCCCTGGAATGTAGTGGAGCACAGAGCAGGATCAGGGGTGCACAGCTCTGTGCTGGGCAGGGCTGGGCAGGTGGTGCCAGTGGGGCTTGCTCTGCCCCTCTGTGCCCAGCACACTGACATGAGCTCTGGAAAAGCTGCCCAGCTCTTTGTGTCCACTAAACACCACCCATTTTAGGTAGTTCTTGAAGAACCAAGTTAAAAATATTAAAACTACGTCAATTGCTGTGACTTGGGCCCATCTGTGCATTTCCTGTGGAAGCCTGTTGTTTCAAAGGGAGAGCCAATCCAAACTGGTTCAGGAAGTCTCAAGGTCAAGGCGTGAACATATTTTTTCAGTCTGCTGCTTGTTGTTCGTGTAGTTTTTGCTGCTGGGGAGAAATAAAGGCTGGGCTCCTGAACAAGCTCTTTATCAAGATACCCGGGGTGGAGGGGAAGCGCATCAGGCAGACAGCAGTACACGAACATTGCTGCTGAGGCAGCTGTTATTTGCTGTATTTGCCAGGATGTTTGAAACAAAGATATGCCTGAAAAGCTTTGGTAAAAGGTAAATGGGTAATATACATCCCATGGCATAATATTGAGACAGTGGCATGGCATAATATTGGAGAAACAGTGTATGGTCTGATCACAAAGCACACTGTACGAGTACATGTAGATAAACCTACTTACTCATGCATACATGATGTATGGACATGGATGTTTTATTTCCTGCTAAAGCAATTCTGCCTAAAATATCTCTCAATGGATTTAACCTTTCTAATATGAATACTATCAAACACAGCTCTACCACAACCACACAGCAATAAAAATTACTTTGAACTCCAGCCTGCTCATATCCTAAGGCTTATTTTAAGCACTTGAAAGCAAAAGTGTGTTGGATTAAACCCTTGCAATATATATGAGACTTGAGCCTATGGACTTTGGTACATTCACCTGCAGAGCACTGGTATTTAGCATCTCCTGATATCTTATGGAATTGCTACATTTTTTATGAATGGCAAATACAAGTCTTTTATTACATTTCAGAGAACAGAATGTGAGAGTGCTATGGAAGATTATAATAATCTGGAAACCTCCACTACTGTGTGGTTGGGGAGAAGGGGGTGGAGGGTAGGCTGACAGAAATTGACATATGAGAAGATTCACTGTTTAATTTCCTTGCTTAAAAGGAAAGATCATGTGGAGTAGATTTAAACCAATAATTTCTAATTAGAAGCAATCATGTTTTATAGAAAAAATCCAATAACACAAGTGTTCTAGAAATACATCTTAACTTAGAATTACCATTGCCAGAACAGAATTGGGAATATTGCCCCTGAAGGGCAGTTATTGTGTATCGCTGCAATTTAGCTATCTGGTATTAATAATTTAACTGTTTTGGGTGTATGACAATATAGATCATCATTAGCCCTCTGTACAGAATAGAAAAACTGGGACTTAAGTGGAATTGGGAAAAACTCCCCTGATGTTTCCCCAGTCCAGATAGCCTGAATCAGACTCAATTTTCATTTGCTTTTGAAAAGTCACTTTCTAGCTCATTTTTTCTGAAGAGCTGCACTACAAAATGCAAAGCAACGTAACCCAGTAGTTCAGGCTGAAAGCAGAAGACAGCTGTGCCCACCTCTGGGACAGTACACTGTAACCTGTAGTGTCGCCTTGGCCCTCAACAGCTACAAATCACAGCAATTTCACCAAAGTTAGTGGCTAAACTTTCATCAGGTAGAAGTCAGTTAGAATTTAAGTGTTTTGGCACATGTCAGAATAGCTTCACTAACCCAGTTAGTCAGAGCATCAAACCCTGTATATGGCAGTGGGATGAATATCAAGGGGATGGGAAAGGAACCTCAAACACTTGTTTTATAGTTGACACAGGATCACTTCAGTGCTTTTAGGATAGTCTTTTATAAAGGTTTAGACATGGTCAGGAAAATGGCATCTGTTGGGTGTTTTCAGAATTTCATTTTCCCTTTTTTGCTTTCTACTCAAGTCCATAATTTTGATTTTCTAGGTTTGCTAAATCTCAATCCTTCTTTCTGCTAAGATGATGAAAATCCAGATAGGAAAAAAGACAGGGAGAAGAGAGGAATAAAAAGAGTATACCTGCAGTTCCACAGCTAATCCCACAGTGGTGCTGAATATTAATGAGAAATGAGCTAAAAGATCATGTTGCTGTACCTTATTATATCCTTCTGCATAAAATGTCGATCAATACATGCTAGAAGAGCCTCAGTGTGATTACTGTACTTAAACAATCACAGGACTTCCTCAGACTCTGATTGTCAAGTGAATTCCAGGGGGGACAGTGTGGGGATTCCAGTGCTTTGTGCAGTTATTCCAAGGCTCATGATAATTCCTAGCAAATCTCTAGAGTTGCAGTCTTGTGCCTGCAAGTTATTACCAAGGCTTCTTCCCCTGCTTCTCAAGACATACAAGAAAGCTGATCACCTCTTCAGTATCCTATTCCTTTGTAAATTTGTTTTACTTTTATAAATATATTAATAGCAAAAGAAAAAACAGGGATACCTTCCATCCCCTATTAGATACAGGAGGAAACATAGTGATGAACAATGAGGAGAAGGCTGAGGTGCTAAATTACTTTTTCACCTCAGTGTTTAGTAGCAGGACTAGATATGTTGAGGGAATCAAACTCCCTAAGCTAGGGGACAGGGACCAGGAGCAGAGTGATCCCCCCACAATCCAGGAGGAGATGGTCAGTGACCTGCTCCACCACATAGATGTGCACAAATCTATGGGGCTGGATGGGGTGCACCCAAGGGTGCTGAAAGAGCTGGTGGGGCCACTTTTTATCATTTACCAGCAGTCCTGGATGACTGGGGAGGTACCAGCAGATGAAGGGTAGGTCCTGTTTGACTATCCTGATCTCCTTCTATAACAGGGTGACACACTTATTGGATGAGGGAAGTGCTGTGAATTTTGTCTACCTTGACTTTAGCAAGGCCTTTGACAAGGTTTCCCACAGCATTCTCCTGGAGAAGCTGGGTGCTGGTGGCTTGGATGGGCACACACTTTACTGGATAAAAGACTGGTTGGATGGCCGGGCCCAAGGAGTTGTGTTCATGAAGTTCAATCCAGTTTGGGGCCGGTCAGGAGTGGTGTCTCCAGGGCTCAGTGCTGGGGCCGCTCCTGGTTAACATCTTCATTGGTGATTTGGATGCAGGAACACAGTGCAACCTCAGCAAGTTTACAGATGACATTAAGTTGGGTGGGAGTGTTGATCTGCTGGAGGGCAGGGAGGCTCTGCAGAGGGATCTGGACAGGCTTGAACAATGGGCCAAGGCCAGTGGCATGAGCTTCAGTCAGGCCAAATGTTGGGTCCTGCACTTTGGCCACAACCACCCCTGGCAGCTCTACAGGCTTGGGTCAAGCTGTGCCAGGGGAGATTCAGGCTGGATACTAGAAAAAATTTCACAGAAAAGAGTGGTGAGGCCTTGGAACAGGCTGCCCAGGGAGAGGTGAGGTCACCATCCCTGGAGGTGTTAAAAAAATGGGTAGACATGGTGTTTCACAAGGTGGTTTAGTGGTTAGGGGTTGTAGGGTGGACAGTTGGACTCGATGATCTTGAAGGTCTTTTCCAACCTTGACCATTCTATGATTCTCTGCCCCATAAATCCTTGGTCTGTGCCTACAATATGGTAACATGCACCCACAGCACTGGTGAGAAGCTTT